GGCTCCAACCATGAGCTCAAGCTCAGAACAGTTGTGACCAGGCAGTGTCTTGTTCTGCTGTGCACGGGGCTGCTTGGATTGGAACAGACTCGATGGCGCCTAACGACGGCATGGGCTCTGTTACTAACGACAAGGTCTTCAGGCAGTGTTTTGATAGGGCCGGTGAGGGCTAATTTGCGGAAGTCTGTCCTCAGGCCTTTCTTTCCAGTCTGTCTTAGTCTGAAAGCTCTGCGGAAACCTCACTAGCCACTCCCTCCCTCAACTACAATGAGTTCAAATGCATCAAAGACCATGCAGATGGCACAGGACCAGGCACCTTTTGCTCTGTTATATATAAAAAACAAGTCAGAACAAGAAACAGCTATGACACATACTGCAGTCAAGTCCAAAAGGATTGCTACAAAATTACAGACACCTTTATTAAACAAAAACATCAGAATGTGAGGCTATTGTTTCTCGAGATATTTTATGAAACAAAAATATCAGAAATGTGAAGTGTGTCCATCTTGCTAACCCTTTCCTGAAGAATTCTGTGCTCTTCAATTGACACCCCATCAAAACCTGCAGCGTGGATGCCCATCACAGACTCAAACTGTGTTCCTCTTCAATGTGCTTTGAGTTTGGGGAACAAAGGAAGTCTGCAGGGGCAAGATCAAGGCTGTAGGGTAGATGGGGTAAGGTGTGCCAGCAAAACTCTCGCAGGACAGTCTTTGCCACTTTTGAAAAATGAGCAGTAAGATGTTGTGATTGAAAAAAACAAAACAAAAACCCTCAGTGCAACATTTGGGCCCTTTCAATTTTCTTTAAAAACCTGCTTCCTAAAATTCCCCGTGATCATCCTGTGTGCTTTCTAGGAAAAAATTTTTTAAAAATCTGTTAACCTGAAAACAGCCACCATAAGCTTCTCAGTTGACCGTGCTCACACCTTGCACTTAACTGGCCTACCAGATCCCCATGGAAATCACTGTTAAGATTCGACCTGGATTTTGAAGGCAGCTTCCTGGGACTAAGACAAGTGTATGGTCTGCAGCCATCCATCAACCACGGCGACATGTTTAAACATGCTCTGTTTGGAATAAAGCCGTGCGTGTATGAATTAGAACCTGAGTACCAATACTTTATACTTTTATTTTTGGTAGGAAAATTTTTATTCTTTTTGTTTTTAACAGTTGAATTAGCACTGCACCCACATTCATACAATTCAATCATTCAACCATATCAAGAAGAGTTGGACAATTGTCACCATCTTCATTTCTAGAACATTTTCTTCTTCCGTGTAGTCATTGTTATTCATGTAACTATTATTTTCTTAGTACCAATACTTTTGTCACTCACCCAGAATATGATTGATACTGATAAAAGCCTGTTGACTAACCTTGAACTCATACCCACCTTCATACATTTCTCTGTTAGCAAAGCAGTGTTCATTATACCACAGTTTTCCTCTGATATAGTCAGTCTATAAAAATAAAGAAGAATATCTCTTAGGCAAAATGTATTCATAAGATATAAAATAGAAAAAGAAGATGCATTAAAAACCCAAAATTTGATAGTTTATGCACACGAGGCAAAGAGACAGAATATATATATTTTGTATATATATATAACAAAAGGGTGTTGAGTAAGGACAGGAAACAAGATTGCACGTTTTGAATACTATACAAAAAGGAATCTAAAGAGAAGTTATTTCATATGAATTAGCACATGCTAATGAAAACACTGCTTCCCTGTTTCCCTGCCGCCATGTACCCTATAGGACAGGGTAGAACTGCCTCAGTGGGTTTCTGAGACTGTAACTCTTTATGGCTATGCACTGAGTTGCTAATCACAAGGTCGGGGGTTTGAACCCACCAGATGCTCCCCAGAAGAAAGAAGAGGTTGCCTACTCCTGTAAAGAGTGACAGTCTCAGAAATTGAATTGGAATCAATTTGGTGGCAGTGAGTTTGTTTTATTTCTAGCCCACAAGCACTCACTGCTATTGAGCTGATTCCAACTCCTAGCCACCCTATAGGGCAAGATAGAACTGCTCTATAGGGTTTCTGAGGCTATAACTCTTTATGGGGTCAGACAGCTACTTCTTTCTCCCATGGATCAGCTAGTAAGTTTGAACCTCCGAACTTGTGGTTAGCCACCCAATGCTTAATATACTACAGCACCTAGACTCCTTATGATGTTAACTTCCTTTCTTATGGTTGCATAGTTTCATGATTCCAAAAAGAGGAAACATTCCAAACTTTGTTTTAATGAGTTTTAAAGGTCTCTGAGTGGCCTTGTTGGCCTAGTCTCAGAAAAAATATGAAAGTGCTATTTTCAGGTTCTCCAAAAGTTCCCAGACACTCTAGCAGTTCTGAGCCAGATTGATGTAGGAGAGGCCCCTTGAAAGAGAGCCCTGGAGGAGGACCAGTGGTGAGAGTGGCGATACTGGAGGGTGGAGGGGAGGAGGGGTAGAAAGGGGGAAGCAATTATAAGGATCTACATATAACCTGCTCCCGGGGGATGGACAACAGAAAAGTGGGTGAAGGGAGACATCGGACAGTGTAAGATATGACAAAATAACAATAATTTATAAATTATCAAGGGTTCATGAGGGAAGTGGAAGTGGGGAGGGAGGGGAAAAATGATACCAGTGGCTTAAGTAGAAAGCAAACGTTTCGAGAATGAGGAGGGCAACAAATGTACAAATGTTCTTGACACAATGGATGGATGGATGGATCGTAATAAAAGTTGTACGAGCCCCCAGTAAAATGATTAAAAACAAAAGCGGCCTGGAGGAGCAGTGGCAAAATGCTTGCCTATGAAGGGTAGCTGAGGCCTACCAGCCACTCTGGGAGAGGCTGTCCACTAATTGTGATCCCACGTACAACTGAATGAGACCCCGCCTGATCTGCGCCACCCTCACAGCTTTTGTTATGTCAGAGCCACTGTGTCAGTCTATCTCCTGATGGTCTTCCTCTTTTCTCATGACCTATTTTATCAAGCATGTCTTTTTCCAGGGACTGGTCTCTCCTGATAAACACATTAAAGGACATGAGAGCCCGTCTCTTGCCATCCTTCACTCTACGGAGCATTCTGGCTGTACTTCTCCCAGCACAGGTTTGTCTGTTCTTTTGGCAGTCCACGATACCTTCAATATTCTTTGCCAACACCATCATACAAATGCAGATTCCTCTTCTGTCGTCCTGTCTTCTTTATTCACTAATTCTCAAATGCATATGAGGTGATTGAAACACCATGACTTGGGTCAGGCCCACCTGAGTCCTCAAAGCGACATCCTTGCTCTTCAACACTTCACAGAGGTCTTGTGCAGCAGATTTATCCAAAGCAATGCATCAATTGATCTCTTGACTGTTGCTTCCATGAGCATTGCTTGTGGATTCAAGCAAGATGAAATTTTTCGCTACTTCATTTTTTACTCCATTTATCAGGTGGCTATGAGCTGAACTCTGGTGGCACAGTGGGCTGTTCATCTCAAGGTCAGCAGATCAAAACCACCAGCCACTCTGTGGGAGAAAGATGAGGCTTTCTCCTTCTGTAAAGAACTACAGTCTTGGAAACTTACAGGGACAGATCTACCTTGTCTTATAGGTTCACAATGAGTCAGAATCAAGTCAACGGCAGTGAGTTTGAGGTTTTTGATGAGTTGGTGACAATAATCAGAGTTGGATGCCCATGTCACCCTGGCCTTCTCTTTCAAGGAATCTAGCAATCTTCTAGCCCAGAGAAGACCCTAAAATACCTGTGGTTAGTACCATCATACTGCCAGGATGCAGAGGGGTCTGAAACCATTTGCTCTCCTGCTTTCTTGCTGTATAGCACATGGATGATCCTGTCTCTTTTTTTATCTTCACTGGTGGGAAGCTTTGGGTTTGGGATCATTGGGTTATATTTCTTTCTTTTTTTTTTTTTTAAAGTAAGCATCCTTTATTTTTAACCTATATATGTCAAACTACATACAATTCATTCAAATACATTTGAAAGTTATTCACCATCTTGATTCTCCTCCCAAACCAGGGTTTTAAATACTCTTATTCTCCATGAAAACTATTCTGAGTTGTGAGCAAGACTGCAGCCATCGTGACTGGAGTCATCCCTGTTTAAGTAGAATCACTGTTGCTGTACATTTATTATTGCATGTTTTGACTATTACCAGGGGTTCAGTAAGAGTTTGGAATGTCAGTTACAATTTGAACAAGACTGCAGCCATCGTGACTGGAGTCATCCCTGTTTAAGTAGAATCACTGTTGCTGTACATTTATTATTGCATGTTTTAACTATTACCAGGGGTTCAGTAAGAGTTTGGAATGTCAGTTACAATTTGAACCCTGCTGAGTTAGTCTGGGTAGACTAGAGAAACAAAATTCATAAACACTCATATTTCATGAGAGTTTTATATAAAGGATAATTGTACATTAAGCATCCCAACCCTGTCCAGTCCAAGCCCATAAGTCCGATATTAGCCATATGTCCAACATCGATCCTCCTCAAAGTCACAAAACACACTCAATGACACTGAATGCAGGAGGAAAGCCGAATCAGTGGGTATGTAAGCATCTCAGCGCTGGCAGGGATCTCCATGTGGCTGCTCCAGCACCCAGGGCTATATCAGGGTAGGTCCATGTAGCTTCTCCTCAGGGATGTCTCCCAGGAAGTGAGCCTTGCAAGCTGAGGCAGGGAACTAGCTAAGGCAGCCACACACTGGTCCGACCATCAAAGAACAAGAGACCAGACAGGCGAGGCTCACTGAGCCATTTATCTCTCTGCCCCTTCAATTAATCCTACATGTTCATCGGTCAGGTTGGGACAATAATCCTTAATGTCACACCTTAGAGTCAACTGACCCCTCCAGCTTTTTTCTTTTCTTTTTGGTCATTGTATAAGATTGACAAGGAGTGCTCAGTTGGAAAGTCAACGTCACGATAATGAATTACAGAATTATTCTTTTATGCACTCACTAAGCTTTATGTCCTTACTGGGTCTTATGGCTTTGCGTGGCCTGTCATGTGTCTTAAGAATTATAACCCACTTGATTCTAATACCTAGTTAGTATTATTCGAAGAAATGAGTATAAATATCACTTGGAAATTGAGATAATTTGAGCACCCACTGTGCTATGCTGCTGCTTGTCTGTGCCCTGTTCGCTGGCATCCCAACACCCAGTTTGTCTTTTTCTCCTTTCTTCTTGACATGGTTTCTCATTAGCTCATTGCACCATGCCTGGGCCCACCATGTGGGATAACACTCTTTCCATTCTCCCTTCCGATGCCATCTAGATTCTGGTTCCACCTATTTATTAAACACAAAGTTTGTGACTGCCGTTTTTAACACAAATCCCATTCTTTGAACCAATATGCATTAGGTTGTGCTGGGCACCACACTACACCCTGGGATTTCCTGTTGGACAGAGGCGGCTCCCGCTTTTAGGAGCTTAGGGCTTACATCCTTGGTCTCCATGTTTCTAAAATTCTACTTGATGGGGTCTCTGGGAGGTAAACTCCCTCAATACCTGCCCATGTGGAATCTTCTTTCCTTTACCGGTATTTTTCAGTTGTGAATGAGGTGGGGACTTACATGTCAGATCACTGTTTTTACATCCAGTGGCTTGCTCTGTCTCGTTTTCCCCCTAGCCTTTCTCCCCCATCTCCATCTTATAGTATTTTATCTTCACCTAAGTTAACACTTGCCTGACTACTAGCCTGCCATGCCTATCATGGGCTGTTGAAAGGACAAACCAATCTGTTTTGGAAGAAGTACAACCGGGAATGTCCTTAGAGTTAAGGATGCTAAGATTTCGTCTCACGTGCTTAGGCCATATTGTCAGGAGAGACCAGTCCGTGGAGAAGGACATCCTGTTTAGTAAAGTGGAGGGCCGCGAAGAAGAGGAAGGCCTTCAAGGAGATGGAGTGACGTGATGGCTTCAACAATGGGCTGAGGCATAGGAGCAATTATAAGGACTGTGCAGGACCGAGCAGTGTTTCTTTCTGTTGTGCATAGTGTGAGTGGAAGGCAGCCTCGCACAATATAACACCCATTAGCTTACTACTTCCCGTCCCTCCCTCCCCCTCTCCCCTCTGGTAACCATAAAAATCAGTTTATTTTGGTATGCAAGATTTTTTCCTTGGTTCTTTTAGTAACAGTGATCTCACATAATATTTGTCCTTTTTCCTTCACACAGTAGAAAAGAAAACAACAAAACAATCTCACTGCTCTTTAGTTGCTTCTGACTCACAGAGGACAGGGTAGAATTGTCCTTGTGGTTTTCTAAGAGCGTAACTCTTTACCAGAGTAGAAGGCTTCCTTCTCCCGAGAGGCAGCTGGCAGTTTTGAACAGCTGAACTTGCGGTAAGCAACCTGACACATAACCCACTAAGCCACCAGAGTTCCTTCGCATAATGTCCTCCAAATCCACCCAGGTCATGAAATGTTTCACGGTGTTCATGCACCAAAGTTTATTGATCCATTCTTCCCCTGAGGGGCATTTGGGTTGCTTCCAGCTTCTTGTTATTGTGAATAGTGCTGCGATGGACAGGGGGTGCGTATGTCTATTTCTGCTATGTTCTTTATACCTGTAGGGAACCTATGAAGGGCTACACTTGCTGGGTCCTATGGTATTTCTACTCCCAATTGTTTGAGGAAGCACCCTACCCCTTTCCACAGTTCCTACATATTTGTGCAGTCCCACCAGCAGGGGATGAGTGTTTCGATCTCATCACATCCTCTCCAGCATTTGTTGTCCTTGCCGATCAATTCTGGGGGCAAGGGGTATCTTATCGTTTCGATGTGCATCTCTCCAATGGCTAATGAGTCCAAGCATCCCTTCCTGTGTTTGCTGACCACCTGGATGTCTTCTTGGTGAACTGTTCATGTCCTCTACCCATTTTTAAAAATTGGGTTATTTATCTTTTTCTTGTTGAAGTGTTGCCGGTTTCTTAAGTTTTAGAGATTAGCCTCTTGTCTGATTATGTCATTGCCATCCCCCCTGCCCATTTCCACCCCCACCCCCCACCTCAGTCTATATATTCTTTTTTTTTTTTTACTCTTTTGCTGAACTCTTTTGATGGCCGTAAGTTTCTTATTTGGGGAAGGTCCCACTCATCTCTTCTGCCATGTGAGTGATTTTCACCGTGCTTGATGGTATTAGGACCCCGACATTTGTCCCTATTTTCCCTTGGTGATTCGGATACCTGTAGAATGAACATTTAGGTTTTTACTCCATCTTGAGTTCAGGTTGGTCTATGGGGTGAGGTATAGGTCCTGTTTTATTCGCCTGCAAATGGAAATCCAATTATGTCAGCATCATTTGCTGCAGAGCCTATCTCTGCCCTGTTTAATTAGTTCTGGTCCTTTGTCAAAGACTAGTTCTTGGTAGTGGGATGGATTTGTTCCTGGGTTCTCGACTCTGGTTGTTGGTCTGCGCCCCTCGTTGTACCAGTACTAGGTGTTGTGAGTCCAGGGCTGGACAGGAGGCTTCGAGGTCAGGAGAGCAGAGGCCTCCTACTTTAATCTTCTCCTTAAGTCATGCTTTGCTCGTCCTGGGCGGCTTTCCTTTTCACCTAAAGTGGTGGATGCCTTTTCCCATCTCTAAAGAAGGATGCTGCTGGGACTTGAAACAGAATTGAACTGTATTTATAGATTGCTTAGTTCACTCTCATTCTGGAATGATCTTGTGTAGCTGGGTTTGGAATTCCATTTTTTGCCCCCTCTGACCTTTCCCTGCTTCCCTTTTCTTCTGATTTCTGCGACCATATAGCTGGTGCTATTGTTTGCTGTCAAGTCAGCTCCGACTCGTAGCAATCCTAGGTCCAAGGGAAGGGCATGTTGCCGGTCCTGGTCCATTCCCACATCTGCTGTGAGGTTGGAGCCCACTGTCGCAGCCCCTGGGCCAGTCCGTCCTTTGTTCAGTGCCTCTCCACCCGCAGGGCTCATCTTCCAGCACTATATCGGACAACGTTCCACTGCAGTTCCTAAGGTTTCCAGCAGCTGGTTCCTCAGACATGGACAGCCTGCTCCTTCTTCTTAGTCTGATCCCAGTCTGGAAGTCCACTGAAACCTGGTCACCTTGGGGGACCCTGCAGGTATATGAAGTACCAGTGACAAAGCTCCCATCATCGTAGCAACACGCAAGTCACCAGAGGGGGAGCCCATGGACAGATAAGTGGTATCCAACATACAGCAGTTTCTGGGGCCCGGGTGACCCCCGCTCAGGAGATGTGAGTCCTGTTGCTAATCCACTCGTGTGCTCCCAGGCGTGTGTCTGAACGGCATGGGAAAAAAGCTTGGCTGGGGATACTCAATGTTGTGGTTGTGTCCCAAGGAAGCATACTTGTATGCTAATAGGATGACCTCGTTAAATCAGGAAACTTTATTTTGTGACAGAGAGAGGCTAAGTGATGAAACAACTGTCCCCCCACCCCTACCCCAGAGGTCAGAAGCAAAGTGGATCCTAGTTAGTGGACACATTGGGAAAAGCGTCCCTTTCTCCAGTGGGTTGGGAGCAGCCCTGGGGTAGAGGGATGTGTGAGTAAAGTGAGTAAAGTGTCAAACTTCAGCCCCTGCTTTGTTTAAGGGACAACGCCCCACCTGAACAAGCGCAGCAATGCCAGCCTGTGGGTCTTGGGCCCACAGCGCAGAGGAAGGCTTGCTGCTGAGATAAAGAGGGGGCTTTGAAACATGATTTAATGATGGCTGAAGAGAAACTTTTAATTTTTCAGCTCGAACTATGAATGCTATAATAGTGATCGGAAGAAGCTACACTGAGAATCGCTGTGTTGCGTCTCATCTCTTAGCCCACCAAGTAAACCCAGGCCACTATCCCGTGGAAATGGCAAGTGGCTTACTTACCCTTTCAAAACCACAGAAGTCTGCCCTGGAGAACTGAGAGAAGGAGAGAAAGAAATACAAACAGAAATTTTAATTTTTTTCTCAAACACCGAAAAGTTTAACAAAGCATGACAATTAAAATGCTATCAATCAAAGGAAATTATTATCATCATTATAGCTGTAAAGATTTAGTCTTGGACACCTAAAGGGGCAGTTCTACTCTGTCCTAAGGGGAGGGTAATTGTGAGTCATAATCAACTCAATGGCAGTGGGTTTGGTTTTTGGGGTATCCCTTGACTCAATTCCAGAAAAGACTTGTGATCAAAGCATGGCTTTTGATGATTTATATAGCAGGGCTATCATGTGTCCAGTAAGACACTGTCTTTGTTATCTAGAAATACCACAGGTGGATGGCTCTAAGGATTTATTTTCTCACATTAAGTCCAAATTCTGGGCACCGGTTCTAGGGGAAGAAAGACTGTCTCTCTTTGCCAGATCTTCATGTGGTTTGGCATCTTTCTTCCCCCATCTCTGTTTGATAGCTTGGCTTAATCTCTTTTTATATCTCAAAAGAGATGGGCTCAAATCAGACATGACTGCGGCATGGAGATGACACCTTCATTAGCACAATAGCATGTTCATTAGCATAACAGCATATTCATTAGCATAATGGCATATTCACTCACTGCCACATGGAATCTGTTCCAACTCATAGCAGCCCGGGAGGACAGAGTAGAACTGCCCCCGCAGGGTTTCAGACACTGTAACCGTCTCCTGCAGAGCAGCTGGTGGGCTTGAACTGCTGTCTTTGGAGTAAGCGGCTCAATACTTAGCCCACTGTGCAACCAAGGCTTAGGACTCCTAAGATCTATTGGGGGATGGGGACACCATCACTTGTCTATCAGTGTGTTGTACTGTGGTGGTTTGTGTGTTGCTGCGATGTTGGAAGCTATGTCACTGGTATGGCAAATGCTTGGATCCACAATTGATGATCATGGAAGCAGTAGCCAAGAGATCAAAAAACGTGTTGCCCGGGGTAAATCTTCTGCACAGGATCGCTTTAGAGTACTGAAAAGCAAGGATGTTCCTTTGAGGACTAAGAGGTGCCTGATTCAAGCCACGGTCTTTTCAATAGCCTCGTATGCATGTGAAAGTTGGACACTGAGGAAGGAAGACTGAAGAAGAATCATTGTGTTTGAATCATGGTGCTGGTGGAGAATCTTGAAAGTACCACGGATGCCAAAAGAACAAACACAGCGTCTTGGAAGACGCACATACAGAGGCTCCTTAGAAGCAAGGATGGCAAGGCTTCATCTCACACACTTGTACCGATTATCTGGAGAGGCCACTTCCTGGAGAAGGACATGATGATTGGTAAAAGAGAGGGGCAGAGAAAAAGAGGAAGGCCCTCGGCAAGACAGACTGCCTCACAAGCTGCAACAATGGGCAGATAGATAGATAGAGCAGGACTGGGTGTTGTGCTGTTGCACCCTGTTGGACAGAGGGTGATTGTGTGTTGGAACAGATTCGGTGGCACCTGCAACAACAATCTATTGCATATCCTCACATCAACTTATATTCCCCTTCTCTCAATCCCAGCACTTATTTTTATGTAAGAATATGCCGGAGGCCTGGTGGCTTAGTGGGTTGTGTATGGGGCTGCTAAGCGCAAGGTCAGCAGTTCGAAACCACCAGTCTCCACAAGAGAAAGACAAGGCTTTCTACACCTGAAAAGAGTTACAGTCTCAGAAACCCATAGGGCCAGTTCTATCCTGTCCTCTAGGGTCACCGAGACCAAATTGACTGTTGGCAGTAACTCCTCCTGCTCCCACCCCCCGCTCCCATGTGGTGCGTAAATATTTTCCACACTCTGGGACTTTGAACTTACTCTAAAGTGGTGTAGCAATACTGTATATTGTCTATTCAACCCTACCAAACAAAAGAAAACATATGCGGCATTAAGCTTTTGCATGTTTTCTTAAAGGATAGGAGCATTTCAGTTCAGAGTGGAAAACTCTGAACACTCAAACAACAAATGTTTCCTCGTTGTATCACAAAAGAGAGATAAGGTGGGTCACATACCGTTAAGAGAGAAGCTGATGGGAAGCGCAGATCCGCACTTACGAAAAGACCCAGAGAGGTGAGGAGCACTAAAAAATTATTGGTTAAAACCATGTCCACTATCGAAAGCCCGGGGAGATCTGAAGGAGGAGAACCACATCGTTGGTTAAAAAGTAGGAGAGGAAGTAAAGGAAGTGAGCTCATCAACATCGATCAAGTCGTGGATGTTGGAGAAATCCTGGACTCGAAAGCACTGTGCGGAGAATTACCTTGCTCAAGCTGGGAGTAGATGCTCTCTGTCAAGTTGTACCACGTGGTGTTGCCATACTCCCAAAACCCGGAGAAACTGAAGCCCAGGTAAATACCTGCCATGAAAGAAAGGGACAATTCAGGTCAGATAACTTGACAAAGCTATCAGCTCAATTCTGGACAATGAGGAGCTTAGCCTGGTGGCCTAGAGGGTCCTGCATTGAGCTGTTAATCTCAAAGTTGGCAGCTCGAGACCACCAGCTGTCCCTCAGGAGAAAGATGAGGCTTTCTGCTCCCGTCGAGAGTTACAGTCTTGGAAACCCACAGAGACAGTACTACTCTGTCCTTCAGGGCTGCTGTGAGTTGGAACCAACTTGATACAGTGAGAATTTTTGTTTGTTTGTTAGCAGCATGAGAATCTCTTGAGAGAAGAGGACAGGCCATTTTGAAAACACTGAAAGCACATGCATTGATGAGAAATATTGTGGCTTGGGCTAGGGACACCTTAGTCCTTCAAAAGAACACCTTTCTCTTTAATATGTGAAGGAGTATTTTGTAGCGGATTCACTCAACGCAGCCTGTTGTTTGAGTTCTTAGCTGCTGCTTCCATGGGTGTTAATTGTGAATCCAAGTAAAACAGAATCCTGGGCATGACCAAAGAAGAATTAATGTATTTTAACTATGGTGCTGACAAAGGATATTGACTGTACCACTGACAACCAGAAGGACAAGGAGTCCCAGTGGTGTAGTAGGTTATAAGATGAGCTGCCAACTGCCAAGTCAGCAGTTCGAAACCACCTTGGGAGAAAGATGAGGCTTTCTACTCCTGTAAGATTTGCCATCTTAGAAATCCACAGGAGCAATTCTACCCCATTCTAGAAGGTCATTTTGACTCAGAATCATGAATTTAAATTTGACGAACATACAAACTATGTCTACATTTACGATGTACTTGGAACATGCCACTTGCAAGTAAATACGGCAACGTGACAAAGCATACCAAGCCAAGCTCACTGTCACTGAGTCAGTGCTGACTCCCAGTGACCCCGTGGGTTTCCGAGACTGTAAGTGTCTGTGGAAGCACACAGCCCAGTCTTCCTCCCTCATAGCGGCTGGTGGTTTCAAACTGCTGGCCATGAAGATCGCAGCCCCTTGTGTAGCCAACCACATCACCAGGGCTCCAGAGTGAGTTCTTAGATATTCTTCCTCCCTTACCCATTGGTTTTATTTATTTACTTAAAAAACATTATTTTTTATTATACATCTGGTGGCGGTGGCGGTTATGTTTCAGATCCTAAGCCTTGCATTCAACAGTCTAAATGACTAATCAAACTCTGAAGTAGTTCACCCCTGACCCTCCACCCGCACCCCCTACAGACCACCACACTCCATTTCACCCAAGTCAACACCTGTCAACAACCTAGCCCATTTTTAGGTATTCTTAGGAAACATTACACGATGACTATGAATTTCACTTGTACAGCCAGCTAGACCTTACTGCTAGAAAACACACAGTGCCACCTCTAACATGAAAGAAAGCCAGGAACCTACCATTATAGGTTGCATTCACAATAAAGCCAAGTAATGCCACATCATTGGCACAGGGGCATTTTGTCACCTTCACATCTGTCACGTGCGGCAGAACTTGAAGAAGCCTTTCTCTGTTCATTACAACCCCAAGTTTCCACTGAAGAATCGGTTCTGTGAATATCAAGGTGAGGTGTGTACATTGTGGCAGTCCTCTTGAAAATAGACCATGAACACTTGTTCTCAGGATGCTAAAGGAACTATGCTATAACGCAAGTAGATTGGATGTGCGACTGTACTCTTCACAAGTTAAAAATTGCTTGTTTCTTATTTTCCAGAAGAGATGAAATGAAGGGTAATTCTATTTGATTAGACTTCATTTCATCTCTTCTGGAAAGTAAAAAATATTCAGGCAAGGTCATGGCACAGACAGGCATATGGGATAATAAATATTGTTATGGCCAACAATTCACCCTTTAGAAATGGAATTATTTGACCACAGGATAGGCACATTTATTGTTTAGTGTGCAACACTGCTTCGAGAGCCCATGCAGTTTCCTTTTGCCTTCTTTCCCCACCCCCTTGGAACAGCGGTCCTGTTGCTGTTTGGTGTGTCCTGGCACAGACCCCGGTTCAGGGCGACCCACACGTGTCCAGTGGGACAGCCCCACATGCTTCCCAGACTGTGGCTCTGCCGAAGGAGAGTGCCACACCCATGTCCCATGGCATCTCTGGTGGGTTTGAACTGCTCACCTAGAAGGTGAGCATTCAGAAACTGGACAGTGCAAACCTTTTGTCAGATTTGTTTCAGAGATTTTCAGAATGTAGATGAAGTAAAGCCAACAGTGCCCTTCCATGAGCCTACTCCTCAGTTCTCCCCAGTGCAACCAGTATTGTGACATTTCTAATCCATGTACTATAATATTTGTATATATCAATGAACAATATCTAAATTTTAGATAAACACGCTTCTACTCTATTCAGCACTTTGAATTTTTTCATTCAATGTTTCTGAGTTGTTTCTGTTATCACTGGTCTATATAGATCAATTTCCTTCATTTTAACAGCATATACCAACAATTATTTGTTTTCCCCTAATGGTGAATATTTGTTTCCAGTTTTTTCTTATTATAAACAATGATGGAGTAAACAGACATGCCTTCTGGGTCACATATACAAGCATCTCTCCACGGTAGCTCTCAACCCTTGCTAAATGTCACTCACCTGGCCAGGGACCGATGTAAAGCTACAGGTGCCTTGTTCCGCCTCTTTTGTTGTTCGGTGCCTTCAAGCCAGGTGTGACTCATGGGGCCCCTATGAACTACCGAATGAAACACTGCTCAATCCTGAACCATCTTCATCAGCGTTTTCACGTTTGAGCCCTGTGTTGGGAGTTTTCCTCTTTTTTGTTGACCTTCTATTTTACCAAGCACGATGTTCTTCTGCAGGGATTAATGAATCCATCTTGATATGTGAGATGAAGTTCACCATCCACATTTCTATTCTGGTTGTACTTCTTCCAAGATGCATTCTTTTTTTCAAACAGTTTGATTGGCACTTCATGCACATATAAGACAATTAAATAGTTCAATTATATCAAGAAGGGTGTGCAATCATTTCATTGTCCTTCGTGTAATTATTATTTTTTAGTCAACCAGATACACTGACGGTCTTCTGGCAGTCCATGGTACTCTCGGTCCTCCTCACCAGCACCCTAACTCCACGGCATCAGTCCTGATGATGCATCTCTTTCAGAGAGTCCAGCCTCTCATAAGATTGGCTGAGGGTACAGTTTGAGTGATATGGTGGAAGGATACAACCTTGACACACACCTTTCCTGATTTTAAACCTTGTAGGGTCCCCTTGTTCTGTTTGAACGACTGCCTCTTGGCCAATGTGATTTCCATGGGAGCACAATGAAACGCTCTCAGATTCCCACTCTTGGCAGTAGTATCCTTTGTTTGTTGCAACCAATGTAGTTGAAAGCCTTTGCACACTCCCTAACACACAGGCAAACATCTTTCTGGTGTTCTCTGCCTTCAGCCAAGACACAGCTGACATCAGCAATGATGCGCCGCATTCCCCGTATGCTTTTGAATACAGCTTGGATTTTTGGCAGTTCCATCAACAGACTCCTACAGCCGTTTGTGGATTAGCTCCAGCAAAGTTCTGCATACGATATTAATAATGTTGTCCAATAATGTCCTCATTCTGTGGACCTCCTTCATTTGCAATGCACTGCTTGACCAGGTAGCTGTCTTTCAAATTTCTACTCTGTATTCCTTCCATGTCTAGTGATGCTTTCCGCATCATTCAATACTTTGCCCAATAGAACCCTTGAGTATTAGAACTGGAGGCTTGAATTATTTGAGTGTGTACTTCCTTCTTGGCTTTCTAACTCCAAGCCTTTGCACCTGAGTCTGCTCAAGCTGCCGTTTGATGCTTTAATTTCTGCTCTTTTCTACCTCCTCAACTCTCCCATTCACTTTAGCACTCCATGTTCAAGAGCAAGTTTCAGAGTCTCTTCCGACATCCACTTTGGTCTTTTCTTTCTTTCCTACCTTTTTGGTGATCTTTTGCTTTTTGCATGTATGATGTTTTTGATGTCATCCTACAACTTCTCTGGTCTTCAGTCACTAGTGTTCAATGCATCCTATCTCTTCTTAAGATGGTCTCTAAACCTGGTGCGATGTATTCATGATGGGGAAAAGGTGACGATATTTACTCCCATAAAGAATTACAGTCTCAGAAACCCACAGGGGCAATTCTACCATGTCCTATAGAGTCACTTTGAGTCAGATTTGACTCAATGGCAGTGAGTTTTTATTGTTGATATTCATGGTCTTAATTTGGTTCCCATGGACTTTTAAAATTTTTCTTCAGCTTCCACCTGAACTTACATATGAGCAATTGGTGGTCTGTTCCGTAGTTGACCCCTAGCCTTGTTTTGGCTTTTGATATTATCTCCACTGTTTCCTCCCACCAATATAGTACAGTACAGCATAGTATAGTGTTATTTTCAGTGAAGAAATCATTCTCTCATTGCCATTGAATCAATTTTGACTCACAGTGACCTTATACGACACAATAGGGCAGGTGTAGTAATTTCATAATCTGTCAACTTGAGGGTATTAAGAGTGAAGACCTGTCAATCAGGTCGCAGCTTGATGACCTCATTTGGAGGCAAAACGGAGATAAATAGCTCACTGGAGGCAGGACCCACTCTCTCTCTGCCTTCCCTTTCCTGTTGTTGAGACACTCAGAGAGCTGGAGGAGTCACATGGAGACCCACACCAGCTTTGAGATGCTTCCACTGCCACTGAATCCACACGACCTTCTACCCACAGGCCTGTGATCTTCCTGCATTTGGCATCATTGCATGTGTTGCATGCATCTAAAGAGGGATTTACGGACTAGCATCGGACATAAGGGCTAATATTGGACTTATGAACTTGATCTGGACTGGGCTGGGATGTTTTCTCAATATACAGTTACTGTTTGATATAAAACTGTCTCTTACACACATACATAAGTGTCCATGGATTGTTTCTCTAGTCAACCTGGTCTAACACAACAGGTTTCCAAGGCTATCAGTCTTTATGGAAACAGAAAGCCTCATCTCTTCCCCATAGAGCAGCTGGTAGATTTGAAGTGCTGACTTTGGGGCCTAGCATTACAACCTATAACTCACTGTACCATCAGGGCTCCTCAAGAAGTCAATAGTCTTGCAAATTTTTACCATACACCCTCCAGCTTAGTTTTATTGCCAAGGTTGTCTTTTCCAACTATTGATCCTTCCCCTATGTCTCCAACTTTCTCATTCCAATTACCAGTAATGATCAAGGCATCTTGATCGCATGTCTGACCAATTTCAGACTGAAGAAGTTCATTGTCGTTGTTGTTAGGTGCGAGTGAGTCGGTTCCAGCTCATAGAAACCCTGCGCACAACAGAACAAAACACTGCCTGGTCTTGCATCCTCCTCCCAATTGATCTTATGTTTGAGCCCACTGATGCAGCCACTAAGTCAGTTCATTTTGTTGAAGGCCTTTCCTTTTTATCGCTGTTCCCCCCCCCCCCCACTACCAATTTTACCAAGCACAACGTCCTTCTCCAGGCACCAGTCCCTCCTGACAATAAGTCTAAAGTATGTGAGGCAAACTCTCTCCACCCTTGCCTCTAAGGAACATTGTGGCTGTACTTCTTTCAAGACACATCTGTTTGCTCTTTGGTAGAATGCATCAATTAACTCATCATTGGCTTTAGTAAATCATGCGTAAATTTGAGTACTGGCTGCATTAACTGGACAACCTTGTTGGTGCTTAGTTATCATCCAATCACTGATAGCATTGTACTTTGAGATAGATTTGGAAACACTTTTTTTTTTTAAGATTAACGTGATGCCATTTCTCTAGAGTTTGTCATTCTCAGCATAGTAAACCATGATTGTCTGGTTCAAAATGGCCAACATCTGTCATTTCAGTTCAAGGATACCCAGACTATCAGCCTGCAGTCTATTTCATTTTTGATGACTTCCAATTTTCCTAGAGCAGTACTCCATAGAGACCAGATTCCAATTGTAAATGGATGACTGTAGCTGTTTCTTCTGTAGCTTTTGGGTCATGCCCCATTAGCAAATGAAGGTCCTAAGAGTTTTCCTTCATCCATGTCATTAAGGTTGACTCTGCTTTGAGGAGGCAACTCTTCCAAGTCATCTTTAAAGTTCTTTCCAAGGTAGGGGCATGTCTTCCAGCATAATCCCGGCTAGTGTTTTGCTGTTCTGCATAATGGCTATTTCAATGGTTATTCCCTTAAAAGTAGAATGTCTACTTGTTATGAGTCAGAAGCTCTGGCAAATAGGGTCCACTCCTGGGGACTTTCCTGGTACTTGAGTGACTGATGGTATACCTTCCAGCATCACACTAAGACTCAAGCCACCACAGAATGACAAACTGACAGATTATGTGGTGCCCCACCTTTAGAGATCTGCTTGTAATTGGTACCTGCTGGGATTAGACATCACTACTTTTTTAAAGCTCCCCAAATGATTCTTTCCATAAAATGCAATATATGTAATGCATAATATAGATATTGCATAATATATATTTATATATATTTACTTTTCATTACACATAGCCTCATATTAAGGTAGAGGTCAAGGAATAAAAATAAAAAGGAATGTGAGGAAGGTGAGAATAAATGCAGGATCCAGGATTAATGATCAGGTAAACTGATACTAATGGGGATCCAAAAATTGGACTAACAGTTCTTATCAGACAATTGAAAGGAGAAACCTGGGCAATTATATCAATACTTATAAGCTTAAAACAACCAATTTCATATAAAAACAAAATGACTGTTATAAGAAAAAGAAAGAATCTTTGCTGATGGTTCCCATAAATAAAATTGTGATGCACTGAACAAGATTCTCTATAACAATTTTATATGCAAACATTCCCTTCATAAAATATTATTTATAATTATCCCTAATATAGCTACTGTAAGAATATAGTTCATATTTCTATACTGCTTTTTGCAGACCTCTCTTAGGTGGTGCTAATGATAAAGTGTTAGACTACTAGCCTAAAGGTTGGTAGTTCAAATCTAGCCAGTAGCATCCCAGACGACAGGCCTGTTGATTTGCTTCTGAAAGGTCACAACCTTGAAAACCCTACGAAATTGCTATGAGTTGACATCAACTCCACGGCAGCTAACAGCAACAGCATTAGCAATGACCACATGTCTTCAATTCTCTTTTTTTCCTTCATATATATAATTCTTATCAGATTGTAAACTCTTCAAGGGCCATGATAATCTCTTATTATTATTTTTAATTTCAAGGACTTAGCACATGGTCTAGCACATAGTAGGTGTCAAAGTTTACTGAAAGAATCTATGAATTCCATTTAACTTTTATCTGCTGACTTTTACCTCGAATAATATCCAATAGCGTTCCTTCAGTAGCATAAAGATTTAATCCATGATGTAAACTAACCCTTACTAACCATTCTTCTATTGATGTGATAGCTGTTGAAAAACAAAAGGCACATAATACTTATTTTTATATGTAATATTGACAGATTTAAGCAAATTTGAATATTACCAACAGTTATCTATAATTTCCAAAACATTTGACTATATTTATCTGTAAAGTACCCCACATTTTTCCTACAAATATTTTACTGATAAAATAATGAAACAGGAATCATGAATTGATCTTCCAACCATAGCAATGAGTCCAGATAACAGTATTTTGTCTCATACTTTTGCCCCTATACTGTGATCACTTGATAAACAGCAAATTTGACATTTCATGTAGCATATTATAATATTTGAAAGTGGAGTATGGTTAATTTAACTGTATAGTGTAAAACCTGTCAAAGACTGTGAAATTTTTTGTTTTAAATAATCAGTCAACAATAGAGATAAAAAAGAAATACAAAAATACAATCTGAATATAGATAATAAAAGAGAAAAAAACAAATTAGAGAGACTAAATAAAAGTTCAATGACCTACAAGATGGTATGATTCTAATACAAAAATATTAGCAATTACATTAACTGTAAGTGGTCTGAAAACATCACCTAAAAACAGAGATTTCCAGATTAGATGTAAAAATGAAGACTGTACTAGGTTTGTTACCTAGGAACCCTGATGGCGCAGTGGTTATCCACTGGCCTGCGGTCTGCAAGGTCAGCAGTTTGGAACCACCAGCCGCCCTTCAGGAAAAAGATGGGACTTTCTACTCCTGTCAAGAGTTACAGTCTTGGAAACTGACCAGGGCAGTTGTGTCCTACAGGGTCGGAGTCAGCACCGCCTTGATGGCAGTGAGTTGGAGCGGAGTACCTGTTATCCATAAGACATTCATTTTACATATAAAGACATAGCTGAATTAAAAGTAAAGGGTGAAGATGACACCTCATGGAAATGCTAATCAAATGAATGCTTCTGCCTATATTAATTTAGTGACTGCCAATGGAGATTTCAGAACAAATAATTACCAGCGATAAAGGACACAACACATAGTGATTAAAGACTCAAGCCACAGAAAGGTACGACTGAAACAGCCTAAGAGGGCAGTTTAGTCAGACATATCATGCCATCCCTTCACAGCAAAGACTCGTAAAGGGAAGTAGATAGAGATGACAATCTCAGACCTCAGACTCTGAAAAGATGAAAAATTAGCTTGATCACGCAGTGGAAAGAGAAACCGGATGAAAACAGCAAACAAGGAGAGTTATAGATCAGAGGGACTCTCCCAGCTGACTAGGTACAGCATGGCCTTAAGACAAAGCAAGTAGTGACCCTAGATAAGAACACAAGAAGCCCACTTCATAGAATTACCAACAGGAAGCAGAGAAACCATGCGGGCAAATCGATAGTGACCCAAGTGGGCAGGACATGAACTGAATATAAGAAAGGAAAATATAGGAAGGCAAGAGCTCTAGGAATCCTGGTGACCACAGAGGAAAGAGGGAGCCAGGAACCAGACAGGGTTATTAACCAGGGCTGTTCTCTGGCCGTTAGAATGGGTGGTGCAAACAGACGAATAGATCCGTAGAGTGTCAGCAGGAGATTCTTCACCAGACCAAACCCTTGCATCATTCCTTGTAACCACGCCCTCCCCAACTCCCTATCCCTCTGGCACCCACTTGGTCCATAATAGGTCCCAATTGCTGGCTGCAGCCCAGAGATGCTCTGGCACTTCTGTCCAATGGGTAAAGGAGCCTACTTGTCTGCCTGCCCAGCCTTCTCAGTGACCAGTGGGGTAAGTGCCCCTCCAGTCTCGCTGCTGCAGCCACTCCAGCTCTTCAGCAGTGCTGGGCTGATTTCCAACAGCAACTCACCCCACCCTAATCATCAACTTCCACTCTCCACTTTGCCCACCTGGCAAGTGGTAGCTCATGCACCCATGTCACCAGACCGATGGCTGGCATTGGTGCGTGTTCACACGATCCACCACCCCACCCCCTCCACCAGGCCTATCCAACAAATTACAGCACAATCTCCCCTGTTTGCAGTCAACTGGCAGCAGTGTGTGTCTACCCTACTTGCCGCCTCCTGCAGCTCCTACACTTGGTAAACACCAGGATGTGCTCCTGCACCGTTGGACCAATGATTGGCAGCAGTTCACACCCACCACGTCCATCCCCTGCCACCACCCAGCCCACCTAGCAATAGATGGTGAGTGCTCCCACATCTTGGCTCAAAGCAGAGAATACCAGAGAGAGGCTTATGTGTGTTTTATTGAGGATGCTAAAGCAATCAACTACCTTGAGAGGAAAGGGCATCCCAGAGCACTACATTGTGTCCATGTTGGAACCTATACATAGAACAAGAATCAGTTATGCAAATAGAACAAAGGCATACTGTGTGGCTTAAAATTAGGAAAGGTGTGTGTCTGGGTTGCATCCTCTCGCTGTACTTATTTAATTGTAAGCTGAGCAAATCATCAGAGAAGCTGGATTATATGAAGAAGAATGCAGTTTCAGCACTGGAGGAAGGCTTTTTAACAGCCTCCAATATGCAAATAACACAACCTTGCTTTCCGAAAGTAAGAACTTGAAACACGTGCTAATGAAGAACAAGGACTGCAGCCTTCAGTATGGCTTACAGTTAAATATAAAGAAGACTAAAATCCTCTCAACTGGACCAAGAGGTAACATCATGGTAAATGAAGAAAAGATCGAAGTTGTCAAGGATGTCTGTCTTGCTTGAATCCACAACCAATGCTCATCGAAGTAGTTGTCAGGAAATCAAATGATGTATTGCATTGGGTAAGTCTGCGTCACAAGACCTCTTTAAAGTGTTGAAAAGCAAGGATGTTGCTTTGAGGAGTCAGGTGTGCCTGACCCAAGCCGTGGTGCTTTCATGTGCCTCAGAAGCACGTGAAAGTTGGACATTAGTTGAGTAAGGAAGACTGAAGAGGAACTGACGTATTTGAAACTACGGTGTTGGTGAATGATGTTGAAAGCACAAGGAACTGCCAAAAGAACAAACATCTGTCTGGAAAGAAATACAGCCAGAATGCTCCTCATAGGCATAGATGACAAGACTTCATCTCAGACACTTTGGACACGTTGTCAGGAGAGACTGATCTTTGGAGAAGGACATCATGGTTGGTAAAACAGTGGGGCAGAGAAAAAGAGGCAGATCTTTGAGAAGATGGACTGACACAGTAGCAGCACCCATGGGCATAAGAGCAATTGTGAGGATGGCACAGGACTGGGCAGGGCTTTGTTCTGTTGTGCACAGAGTCACTATGGGTTGGAACTGACTCAATGGCACCTCACAACAACAATGTAAATGGATTTAATTTTAATTTTAATCTACATGGTATGTCAGAAAATCTACCAGGCAATGATAAAGGGCATACTCCCAGCTGGATTTAAATTTAAGATAAACGACAAATACCTTTAAATTTTTCATAGGATATTTACAGGGGACAAAATTACGTGGAGCAGAAATTAAAAGGTTTTTAAAAATAACCTTTTATCTTTGCTAGACCTGGCACCCAAGACTGATAGGAAAAATAACTAATTTACAAGACACTTACCTCTCATTTTTGTGATGTTTTCTCTAGGGATATCAATGGACCAGAAAACCTGATCACTGAACTTGAGTCAAGAAGGAATCAGAAAAAAAGTGTTTTACTATGGTAATAGCCAGACTTATATTGGCATTTTTATTCTATATATTTTAAAAAAAAGAAACATAATGAAAAACATTCAGTTATCATGTAATATTTTCTGGAATAACTTCTTATTTTATAAGCTATTAACTCTGATAATTTATTTTTAATTAATTTATTATTAATTGGGAGTTAATGCACATATATCATTCTATACTTCAATCTCATAAGCAGAATCATACAATTGCTACCTCACCATTAGTTTCTAAACATTTGTTTTCTTCCTGGATTCCTTGACATCGTCTTTTTTTTTTAATACTTTTATTGGGGGCTCTTACATCTCTTATCACAATCCATACATTCCTCCAATGTGTCAAGCACATTTGCGCATATGCCACCATCATTTTCAAAGCATTCTCTTCCCACTTGAGCCCTGATATCAGCTCCCCATTTCTTCCCCCTTCCTCCCCCACCTGCCCACCCTCACGAACACTTGATAAGTTATAGATTATTTTTTCCATATCTTACATCGTCCTCCGTCGCCCCTCGCCCACTTTTCCATTATTTGTCCCCCTGGAAGGGGATTTTAGGTAGATCCTTGTGATCAATTCACCCTTTCTCCCCCCACCCTCCCCTTATCCTCCTGGTATCTCTACTCTCTTTGTTGGCCCAGAGGGGTATATCTATCCTGGATTCCCTGTGTTTCGGGCTCTTATCTGTAGCAGTGTGCATGCTCTGGTCTAATCTGATTTGTAAGGTAGAACTGAGGATAATTTCCTTTTATTGCCCTACCTTATTCCAGAGAACCATATAATATCTTGCAAAGATATATGTGATATAAGATGATGATACATTTAAAACAGACCAGCAGAAATACAGAAAAGTCAATTAATGTGGGGGGAAAACACAAACCACTGGAACTAATGAGAAGCTGCTACCAGAATGCCTACCAGACATTGTATACCCACACACAAGCAAAGAAATCATTTTCTGGCATTCATAAGAACTCTTTCCTGGAGGAAATTCCAAATGCTCACTTCCATGATTGTTTGTCATGCTGTAAGTAGCAAGAGGGTTGTTGATATGTTGATACACTGGCAATATCCTACTTTTCTGTAGTGATTTTACTGTAAATTTACTGTAGTGATTTTACTGTAGTGATTTTACTGTATCTCTGGGTTTTGAAAAATCACTGCTCAGCCTCCTTTGCTTGAGTCTTCTCCACAAGCCTCTGTTTACAGTGGGTTTTCACACTCATCATTTACCAAAATCCCCTGGATTCAATTTAGTCATAAATAATTCCCAGACTTAATAGACTAGACAACCATAATATTCACTCTGCTAAGTGGGGGGGGGGGATTCTCAAGAACAACTAAAATTAAATAAACATTGAAAAGTAATCTATATACAGTATTTTGAACACCTGTTCATGCTGTGTACTCCCTAAAGATTTCAAAGAAGTTACATACATAGATTTAAGGAGAATTCTGCCCTAGGAGTGAATAAATAGTGTTTCTCAACATAGAAATGGATGGGATGGGGGGGAGTGGAAATAGGAAAGCTGAGAAATTTAATCGTTGAAGTGAAATATTCACTAGATGGGCTCAATAGCAGATTGAAGATTATAAAAAATGAAGAAATGAATTGGAAGAGCCATCACAGGCGTTACTAAATTGGTTACTAAGTTACTCTGTTACAATTGTTACAAGTGGGCTCTGACTCATGGTGGCCCCATGTGTGATTTCCCAAGTTCAATCAACATACATTCCAAGAAGAACAGCGAATCCCAATCAGCATAAAAATTAAGAGAAATCTTAAGAACATTCAGAGGAAAATAGCATCTTATGTCAACCTGTTTTCATGAAGTCGATTCTGACTCACAGTGACCCTTCAAGACAGAGTAGCACTGCCCCACAGGGTTTCTAAAGCTGTACATTTGACAGAGGCAGACTGCCACATCTCTCTCCTGGGGAGCAGCTGATGGGTGTGCTGGTATTTTGGTCAACAATTATTGAGTGCGTTCCCCACTGCACCACTAGGGACCTTAACACATTACATACAGGAGTGATGAGAAAACAAAGAGCAGATCCCTCATTCCCAGACAATGCCAGTCATATGACATTAGAATGGCACATTTAAAATGCTGACAGGCTTAAAATGCTGAAAGAAATTGAAAAATTTATTCAGTGAGTGGATTATGTGGTATATGCATCATATCTGATTAAAGATGTAACTTCCCCAAAATATTAAAAAATAAATGCGAGGAGTAAAAAATTTAAAACTCATAAATGAGTTCAACAAGGTTGTAGAATATAAAGACCAATGTACAAAACAATGAATGGTGTTTATATGCACCTGTGATGAACAATATGGAAACGAAATTAAGATAACAATTTTAAAATGGGGGAAAGTAGGAATAGGCTTTTCACCAAGGAAGAGATACAAATGGCAACACATGCATGCAAAGATCCTCTGGTTCTCAACCTTGCAAATGCCTTTCATACAGGTCCTCATGTGGTGGTGACCCTCAACCATAACATTATCTTCGTTGCTATTTCATAACTGTCATTTTGCTACTGTGATGAATCGGGCGACTTCTGTGAAAGGGTCATTCGACCCCCAAAGGGTCATGACCCACAGGTTAAGAACCACTCTTTACATCATTAGTCATGAAGGAAATGCAAATCCAAGCCATAAAGAGATACCACTTCACACCCAGAAGAATGGTTCAAACACACACACACAAAAGGAATGAATGTTAGTGAGGATATAGCAAAACCGAAAAGGAACCCCCTTAAACTGCTGGTGTGAAGGTATATAGGTGGGGACACTTTGGAAAACCACCTGACACTACTTCCAATGTGACTACAAAGCAAAGGCAAACCAAACGCAGATGCCGTGGAGTCGATGCTGACTCGCAGCCACCCTATAGGACAGACTAGAACTGCCCTTGTGGCTTTCTGTGACTGCATCTTTACGGGCCGTGGTAGTTAGATAATTTCATGCCATCTTAAAGATATATAAAAGTGTAGGGGTGCATTTAGCCTGTCTAT